AGGTCAACATACAAATAATAAAGAGGATAAACATCAGGTGGCGCTGTATACGTGGAAACAAGAATGCAGCCAAACATTTTTCAGTTGACGCACAACCGGCAAGCAGAACGATACAATAGCAGAATAACGCCAATAAAGTATTTATTTGGAATAGACGACCAATAAGCAATTTCAGTAAAATTTCAAGGAGAGAGAAGGACACGCATGGAATACAAACAAAATTCCAAGCTCCAAGCGGCCGGCGAAATTCCAATTTTCATAAAATATTTTGCGCACGCGAATTTTTGGTGGGAAAAAGTTAGCTTACAAAACAATTTTTCAACAGGACAACAGCAAGCAGACGACTAGCGCAAGTGGCCCGGAGCTGTGGGCGGCCAAGTCAAAATCGGTCTAACAACAAACTAATGTGGAGTATGGCGGAGCAAGGATAAAAGGCTGCGAATTGCCAATGCATGTGTGAGCTGCTCACAAATTCACCGCCAACAATTACAATAACAAAAAAAATAATAATTAAAGAGAAACAAAAACCATTCGAGTTCAGAACGAACATACGAACGCCCGCCCCCCGCCTCACAGTCGCTTAGGCGCGAGGATATCGATTTGCCGCGTGCACTGCTGATTGGGGCTATGGGGGCTTTGGCTTTGTTTAGTGCGCGCTTGCCTTTGTTGTTGTTGTTCGTGTTGTTGTGGATTTATTTGTGTGTAGTAAGAGCAAGATATTTGCACAGAGCTTGGCCACTCACTACACACCGTTGCTTGGCGCAGAAGACGAGACGACGGAAGAGGCATTTAAAAAATTTACTTCCGGCTTTGCTTGCTGGCGCACTTTGTTGGCCGGGTTTTAGAAAATGCGTTAGTTCCGCATTCGCATGCCGCTGGAATTCCATTAGATACCAACCACAATGAGTGTGTGTATATGACGACATAAACACCACAAAAATGCCGGCTAGCTTTGGCGCGCCTGCAGGATAAACGTGGGCATGTTTAAAATGCAAGTGCAAGGATGGGTGGGACAGCTTTTGTTTGATTGTTTGCTTAGAAAAAATTTGCTCGCATTAGAAATTACTTTCACTTTTATCACTGCAGCCAATTTGGCGCCACGCAAGCGGGGGAAACGCCCGCAAAGATGTGCCGCAAAAGATAAAGAGCGGCTCCATCTAAATTTCGCTGTTTTCAACCAGCAGCGCAGCAGGCGCCAGCAAGTAGCTCACCGATGCCATGAGCGCCATACCCATACAGTCGCTGCTCGGTGCCACTGCTACTCAAATAGTCTTACCATGGAGGAGGGGGAAAAAAAGTTGCTTGTGTGGCTGACTGGCTGACTGGCTGACTGGCTGACTAGCTGACAAGTCAATTAATTTTTGTCAGCACATTTATTAGATTTTACAGCCACGTATTTCCGTAATGTCTGTTGGCCGCATGCTTTCAGCTTAAAGTTATTTTTTAAGTTTAAACAAAATCGGTAGCTCACACATGTCTGCGTGGAAGAATTGAACAATTTTCAAGCGTATCGCTGGTAGCATATGCCACCAGTCTGCAAGAGCGGGTCACACACATGCCAGCATCGTCGCATGGCTGGCAACAAAATGGCGTCTTAAAGAGTCAACTGAAGGCTTTGTCGTAACAGGTGCACAGCCACGAGCAGACAGACCGCGAAGTTGCCAACTCAACGCCTGGAGAAAGTGGCATCAAAAGTCCTTCAGCAAGCATTGCAGCGTCCGCACACAAATAAACACAATGCGGCGAACAGACAGTATTCTGTGTAAATATTTGAAAAAGTTTTCTATAAACTTTCTCCGGTAGTCAGCCGCTTATGCAGCATAATAGCTGCGGGCGATGTTTACAAATTAGAATCGTCTAAACATTAGCTTTTTCTGCTACAAGTAGGTATGTATGTATGTATGTATGTATGTATGCAGCAATTGTATGCTCTGAGCAAACGGAAACACATATGCCCTCCGATTGTGAGTTGGATATGTAAATTGGATATGCGGCGCCTCGTAGCGTACTCTCGTCAGGGCATTAAAAAAATATCATTTTGGGGTTCATTTAGCAGGCCAACATAGTCAGCTGGCTGATGAACGAAATATCAGTTTGACAAATTTCTAGCGATGCATAAACAAACACTCACACATGTATGCACATATGTACATGCATGCACGCTTAAGTAAACTTCTTGCAAAAGCTTAACAAAAATAACTCCAAAAAAAAGATGGCCGCACTCACCCACAACCAGGCAGAGCCAACGAATTTGCTACGAAGCCAAAAATAAAATAAAAGTATTCTAGAAAATTTAGTCTTGCTCCCGCAGACCGCAGCCCGCAGCCCGCAGACCGCAGCCCGCTTTCGTATCTATACATTGCATATACGGTCTCGGTCGGCCCTTTCGTTGACTTTGCGGTTTTTACGAGCACTTAACACATCATTAAAATGTCAAGTCATCAATCTTTTTGTATTTTTTACCAGGCTAGCAGCGAATTCAAAACGCTTCGCCGCTGTCACGCAAGGTGCTTGTGTGTTTAGTCGCTGCGCCGCTCTGCTTTTAGGCTCGTAAAGTGTTTTGTGTAATTTTCTGGTATTTACTTGGTTGGGCGGCCCTTGCATGGCGGTCTTGCTTGAATGGAGCAATTAAAGCGCTCAAGTACATATGTTTATATGTGCATACATACATACATAGAAACGAAATGTGTGCTTGTACACAATTTCCCAAAGATATTAGGGGTATTCACGATCCGGTGCATACTGTCTAGCATGGTGCATAGATAGCATTATTGGCTAATTTTGTTGTTGTTTGAGCACATGAAACAACAAAAATCATGCTATTTATGCTATCTATGTACCATGATAGACCGTATGCACCGGATCGTGAATACCCCTATTGAAAATGAAAAGCATAAGGGTTAAACGCTGAAGAAGCGCACCCCAACTGAGAGTGCCTGTGTACCAGGCGAATTGTGCTTTAGCTAGTATGTAGGCGAATTTCCATTTGAAAGCAAATGTAGAAGCCAATGTTTAAAAGTCCAAAGCGTAACATACGTGAATACATACGCAATAGCATCTGGCTTCTATGACTGAGACAGAAGGTGAGCGTGCTTCCAATATTTTGTACAATGCAGGCTTAGGCTTTGGCCCACGAAACATCAAATGATGGGCAGCTCTTTTCCAATAATTTTCCTATAGCTTCTAGCCAGTTTTTGTTTGTTTGCAAGTTTTACAAAAAGCAAATATTATTGTTACTATATCAAGGGCTGTGTAGAAGTTCGACATATCTCGGCAGCCAGATCGAAAATCCACTAACTCATAAAGCTTTTCAACAATACTCTATTTGAAAATTGAAGAACGCCCTATTTTAGAATTCGGTTCAAAAAAAGCAAGATACTTCAACATCTCACTGATTTCAAGCTACGCCTGATGGAAGAGAAGAACGAAGTGTCCAATTATAGCTTCTTTGCTCGTTTCGTTTAGCGACTTCAATGTCAGGCTGAGCAAGAAAGGGAACTTTGGCCTAGCTTTCGGAAAACTCAGCTTCCACGACGAAAAGTCCGATAACGGACGGAGGCTCATCGCCTTCGCCGGAGCTCAAGCATAAAATGATCAATCAAGCTACGTGGCTGTCTCCAGATCGGAAAACGAGAAAGCAAATCGATCATGTTGTGATAGACGGAAGACACTCTGCCCGCTTTTTGGACGTACATACATACACTTCGAGGACTTAGGGCAGAGAATGATTTCGTTCTTCCCAAAAAATGTTGGCCTTCAACCCTGCAAAAGGGCATGGTTTGCCTTCTTGCTTACAAACTATTTCAAATGATAATCAGGGTATAAGCGATTCGGGTGTCATATTTCTTCTTATAGCCTATTTCCACCACCTCCTAAATATATTTCAGAAATAAAGCTTTTTCATCTCCTTTATGATTGACACCCATATTTTAATAACGCAAGTAACTTTTTTAAATAATTTAAACTATTGAAGAGGTGGCAACCCTCTTCAAACACCTAATAAATATTTCTAGTGTTCAAACTAAATATTTCTTAAAACTCTTTCGCTTGGCGCCAATATATAAACACAAACTTTAATACATGTTTGAATTAGGTTATTGCCTAGTTTATGTTGAGCTGGATTTTTTAAATAGGTGGCAACCCTCTTCAAACGATCTAAATGTTCAAACTCAAGTTTTCTTAACACCCTTTCGCTTCATGTTTCAAATAACTTGCCTAAAAGTTAATTAAATTCGACTTTTTAAACAGGTGGCAACCCTCATTAAAAGCAGTTTCGGGCAAAGACATTTTTAAATATTCGTCATCTAACACTGCGATACATATTTTCATTAACTGATTATTTAAATTAAATTTTATTTTTAAACAAGTGGCAACCCCGCTAAATATAGTTCAGAAATAAGGATTTTTCACACCCCATTCGATTGATACACATATTTTAATAATTCATTTAACATATTTAATAATTTGAATTAAATTTTTAAACTGGTGGCAACCCTCTTCCAACACTTCAATTATGTTCATAGTGTTCAAACTAAAGACAACGGAAGAAAAGGCGCCCACGAACACTACGGAAGAACCAACTGCAGAAGAACCTGTCTGCACTTGGGATGAACTGGCGCAAATCCGAAAGTGTCAAATAGGAAGAATAACAGATCTCCCAGTCTAATCTCAGGACATTGCAGGTGTTAAGTGTATTAACGCTGAGATCCGAAGTTTTTCCAGTTAATTTTCTAGTTTTACTTTTGGACTACTTAAGATATATTCCATAACTTTTATTGCAAGCCTAACGAAATATAATCTGACGAAGAGGGTTCCGAGAAACCTTCTGCTGCAAAATAAAGTCACACTATTGGCTAGTGGCAAATTATTAAAAAAAATAGGAAATCAAGGATATTAATGGCATAAAATAAATTTGGTTTTATTTACGTTAGCACGAATATAGCTAGTAACATCTGTTTGTTTTCGTGAATTGCGAATTTTAGACCAAATTCTTGTACGACCTACTGACCCATACCATATGGGCTCTTCTTGTTTACGGGCACGTAGAAATTACCGGAGGCACTGACAATGTTACTGGGAGCGGCCATACGAATTGAGGAATAAGTGCTGCCACATGAATTCTTCACAGCATTTTCATAGCTTTCACACTTCACCGATGGAAAATCATTTTCGGAAATAGCTTCAACATAGTACATCCATGAACGTCCGTGCGAGCATGCACCGGCAATATCCAGACCACAACCGGGTTGACTCTTGCCACCGTTGGGATAGAAGGCAGCTTTGCCAATTGGTTTCAAGAAACCCAAAATAGCACCACATGTCTGGATGGATTCGACATATTCGGCATCATCTTCATACAAACGTTCAGCTGGTTTATCATAACTGAACAACGGCGATGCCGGGTCCAAGCCGGTAATCTGTTGAATGCGTCCATTTTCTACATTTTTGCCGGCAAAACCAGAGATGTGGGCGCCCAAACTGTGACCGATTAAATGCAGGGTGTCAAAAGATAGACCACCCTCCTTGTACAAAAAGTCAATCATGGCGGCAACCTGTTTACCAACCTCGGAAACATAGCTTTTCGAGGTAGCGTAATAGGATGTCGCTTTGTCGCTCCAATCTACAGAAATAATGTTGTATTTACCATTGGACAAGAAGGCATCACGGATTTGCGGGTTCAATTCGGACTCGTAGCTATTTTGCCAGCCATGAATAATGAATTTAGTGGGATAACTATTGTCGAAATGCGAAGCTTTCAACGATTGCACATTTCCGGTAACCAAAGTATCTGGGCTGCTTGGGTTTTCGTTGGTGTACAAGTAGAAATAAACCGAAACTGTAGACGTACGACCGGTTAGTGTCTTAGCTAAATCTTCGGATTCAGCCACGGTCATCCATTCGAAGGAGCCATCGAGTTGGGGCACATACCAGCCCTCTTCACCCGATTGCCTATTCTCATCAATGGGAATGGCCACAGCTATAAGATATGGAGGAATATTTTTGGTTCAAAGTGCACATATTTATATTTTGAAAGTAGATTAACTCACCTGTGGCAACTGCGAGTAATAGAACGGTCACTGCTTTCATGGCTACTCTGAATGTTTACCAAATTAGCAATATAATCGAAAGGATGGTAGCGCCGATTTTTATACAAAAATATCACTTAGCCAATTTACATTTACATATACATACATAGTTAAACATAAGAGGCACTTGTTTTAACTCTTACCAGATAGATCCTAATCTGCAGTACTCGAAGTTACTCGTACTATCTTATCACTTGATAAAGTAGTAATAAGTTTTGCTTTCTAAAGAGTCCTATGATTGTATCAAGCAATTAACCATCAAAACCTGTCAAAGTTGAGGAAGATTGGCTAATTACGTGCAAAATCAACGACAAATATTTTGACCACTTTATACTTCGTACGTCATATAACGATTTTAATTTAAATACTTTTAATTAAGAATAAGTATTACATAAACACATCGATATGCAAAAGTAAAAGTGCCGCAGTCTGGGAATCTATGTATGTATATACATATGTGTTTGGTCGAATTTAGGTAACTCATACACAAGATATATATTTATAAAATATATTTAAATATGAGTTGAGTTGAGTGGAACTTAGCACAAAAACAAGTAATTTTTAGCAAAAAAAAAACCGACTTCAACTCTCATGTAAAAAAAAAAAAATATATATATATATATATCTCATGATCCGCTGATCGGATCTTAACCAGATTAGTATGGGACCACCTCTGAGATACTACATTTCCGATGCAAAAGAATTAAAAAAAAGAATTATCGAAATCGGTTGACGTGGTCCAAAGTTATGCGGTAACATACATCAAAAAAAAAAAGAAAATATTCCGACGAACTGATAACCTCCTCGTTTTTTGGAAGTCGGTTAAAAAATAACATAACATGCTATCAGAGCTGGGTAATTTTTGATGACGATTACATTACAATTACGATTGCTTAATTGTAATCCTTAAATTATGTACGATTGTGATTACTTAAAAATTTAACGACTAAGGTTACTGTAATCATAATCATGAAAAACGAATACCGTAATTATAATCCTTAAAATTTCAATACTACAATTACAGTAATTGTGATCATGAAAATTACGATTGTCATCTTAAAATTTTTAGGATTACGATTAATACTATCGTAATCATAAAAAGTACGATTACGATTACTTCGATAACTGGGCTTTTCTAGCATTCAACAAGTTACGATAGCTCAAAAACGTATATATCTCGATATAGATCTCAAATTTTTGGATACCTCTATAAATTTCGATAACTCAGTTAATTTTAATAGATTCACAAATTTCGATAATTTTCGATGTATTTTGGAAACTTCAAAAACTTTGGTTCGATAAGTTGAAAGAACGATAACTCAATAAATATCGATAACTTGATGAATTTCATTAACTTGACAAATTTCGACAGATAATTTTCTGTGTATATAAATTTGGACAACTCAATAAACATTGATCAATTTGAATAGATTGATACGTTGCGATAACTTAATATAAATGTGTAACACGATAAATTTCGATAACTAAATTTTTTAGGGCTGGATAAACTTTGATTGAAATCGAAAAATTTTAATGAATTTTCTTACCCTTTCAGTTACCCTAATTCCTATTTATATTATGTAATCTCCCTTTTGCCTTCATCATTTCTTTCATAATCTTCACAGTTATCTTTATTAAATACTAAGTCGAGTTACAAATACGAATGCGAAAAGAATTCAAACTGAACAGGTTGCAACAACAACTACGCTGTTCTCCACGTTCTATGATGAGATAAAAATTTAACAGCCGTCCCCAAAAACTACATAAAAACAGGTAAATTTTTACCTATTCACCGAGATGATATTTACCTAAATTGTTATTTGTTTATATATACCGAAACTTGCCATCTCGTCTCCAATGCAGTTTACTTGTCTTACGTACAAACAACGCTGCGAATGCAAGGTAACGTATTCAAAAAATTTCCATTTTCGTCACACTTCGACAGGATAGCAGCACGAGGTTGCAAGTACTTCGCGCCAAAAAATTAGAATCCTTATTCTAACAGCAAAGCTAGGAAAAAGAAAAGTACCATACTCCACAAGCACAAATCAAAAAGATTGCTTACCACAAGCTAACGACGCCACTCAACCACACTGGAGACCCTTCGCCAGCGCTACCACTTTCGTGTGCTCCGCAGCTTTCAGCCATTGGGCGGCATAAGCAAATAAGTTTCACATATTTAACGGCGAACTACTGCCGCTTCATCAGCGCCTGTTCAAATAATATTCGCATAGAAATTTTAGGAAATAGCTTACGGTTAGAAATGCCATAGCTGACATTTATTTAGAAAATTAGATGCTCTAACCATAACGGAGTAATGAAAAACTATGCGATAAACGCCTAAAAGCACACTAATAGAAACACTGCAAGGAGTGTCTCTGGCTGAATGGCTAAATTGCTGTGAGCTGTGGAAAACTCGCACGGTATGCACATTTGATGGATGAGCGGCAATAAATTTGGTATTTTAATGTGAAAACAGTCAAGTCACCGACGTCGCTTTTCAACAGGCGCGCAGCAAATGAGTGAAAGTAGTTAGTTGTAGTCGACTTTTAGGCGTTATAGAGCGCGACTACACACACGTGTGGGTGTTTGTTAAACGAAGGCAAGCTCGTGCGCGCGATTGGGTGTAGCTGCCGACAGGATACGCTACTTTATTAGTAGGGTGGAAAAGCAAACCTGCGCAGTGACGGACTGCTAAACTCACACATACAAATACCAATGAATGCATACATTTTCGTAAAAAGAATTGTAAATAAAAGGATACACAGAGATGTTTGCTCTGTATGTTACCATTTGCTGCCACTTACTTTTGTGCTTGCAGCTAGCTACTACTTATGTTATTGCTATTGTTATTGTTTACCCTTAATGATGCATGAACTTTCGCCACAAGTTACCTACTTTTAGGCGCTCGCGCGTACATTTTTTCATCGTGTTTTTGTAGCCGAAGAATTTCTTTCAGCGTCACACAATTCCCTTCAAGTAGGTGCGCTCAAGTCTGCACACGTTCGTACATATGTGGCTGGGTATTTGTTTACCTCACGACCGCAACCCACTTGCTGCGCCATTTTGTGCACCTAATACTGTCGCCGCTCTGATAAGAATTTGTGTGCAGCGCCTGCAGTGCATGCGACCACGTGGTTCCGATGGCGGCAGCGAACGGCGAGGCACCTATGCACACATTCCCTATAGTACCTTGCATGTGCCTGCGCGTGTGAGTGTGTGTGCGCGTGTGTGTGTGTTTGTCTAGGGGAATGCCGCTCACAAATCCCACGTGGCCTGTGATATTATCAATTCATGATATGAACACAACCTACATGCATATACATGTGTGTATGTATGTGTTGTGGTCGTAGCTCACCCACTTTGGGCACCCAAAGGCACACACAAAAACCGGCAATAGGCACACACTAACCGCAAAAAAAAATAAAAATTAGGGGAAAGTTGACTGCGTGGGCGTTGTAATCTTACCCAAGAAAAAGAGTATCTGTAGACTCTGCTAACAGGCAATCAGGGCGCATAGTTGGTGGGTTGTAGCCCAGCTTACACCCGTTTGGTAGCGCGTATGTGGCGCCTTGTTGTTAGCTTGACATTTATACCCATATATAGACTGCGTCGAGCCTTATCATTTATGCACAGCTTCCTGTAACAGATGACAGACCAGGAGTAATACATACACATTCTTATGTATGTATATAGAGAAGAATACGTCCTAGCAGAGGTGCTGCTTGTATAGGGAATTGTTTTTATTTTTATACATGTCAGACATTTTGATAGTAAGTAGCACATAGGCGATTCTAAGCCTACTTAGGTTGGCTATTACCTGTGAACCCAGCGCGCGCCAAACTTAGCCTACATTTGACTGAAACTTATATTTTTTTGTTGGAAAAGAAAATCTGCCCCTCTTGCAATAGGAATAATCGCGCCACAATGTTCCGAGTGTATTATTATACTTTACTCTTCTCTATGCCAATTTTGTTGTTCCATTTTTATGTTGTTTTTGCATTGGTAAATACAACTGAAGCTTGTATGTATGTACATACTTTGTTGCTACATAAATGGCGCAATTTCTGGAAGCATCACCATTATAAGCGCATATACATACAAACATACATTGTAGAAGGGATCCATGGTTGCAACTGTGTCCCTCCAGCAGCTTGGTAGCTGCCATTACTGTCGCCCTAATACATTTTACAGCCGTGTGGTACTACAAAATTTCCGAAATTTACATCGCTTGTAAGCTATTTTACATTTTATACGAGTACCCAGGTGTTTACGTTCCCGGCAGCGTTTTTTGTGTATTTTGGGAGCTGAACCTCTATATATGTAAGTATGTATGCATGTATACATATTTACTAATATGCAGTTTAAGTAACGTATGTGAACTTGTTTAATAAAAAGAGATAAAGTTCTTTAAGGGTTCTCAGGTCAGAGAGAGCAATGAACATTTTTTTTATAGATTTCAATTTTAAATAGACAACTTTGTCTTATAACTTTTCAAAGGTTCAAATAATATCCTCTCTGATTATGGAAAATATTTTGCAAGCGATTTTAAAAATTTCATTTTTCATTAATTTTTTTCAAAATTTTCTTTTTGATGCAGAGATATTCCTAAAGCATCTAGATGAATTACTGCATCAAAACGGGAACTTTCTTATTTTAACAATTTATAGGCCGATTATTCAAGAGATTTCGAAAATGGTGTAAGTAAATCAAAGCTATAAAAACATGATTTTTCTAAAAGGTAATATTTTATATTCATTACTTTGTAGCTAAAACACAACGTTCTTTTCGATGCCTGTTTAGTAAATCATTTACTTTAATGTTTTTTTTAGGGATCAAGTTGTTAACTTTTGTTAGTATTAATGGATCAAAATTGTTAGGCAAATCGATTTTAGGTTAGTTCGCTCTTATTCAGAATTACTGCGGGAAAAATTATTTCACCACATCTGGCCGGAAATCTGAATGGAATTTTTCGAAATGCGAGATATTCCTATAGCATTA